AAGTGAAGAAAACAAAAGCTCTTTTAAAAACAATAAAAGTGAAAATAAAGTTGAAGATATTAAGACAAAATTTAAGAATTTAAGATGATCAAACGGAAGTTGCAAAAACGGATTAATGTTCAAAGAAAACAGTAGTAGTGGAAGCATATGGGGAATTGATAAACCTAATAAAGTTGTTGCCAATAAGATAAAAGATTTGGTCAGATACCGCTTTTATATGTCGATGAATTTATAGAGAATGGAGAAAACAAAGATTTTAAGGTATTATCTTATATGTATATACGTCGCACAATAAATATTATTTCGTTTACTTACCATTACTTTTGATTATATGAAAATTAATTTTATTAGAGACTTTTCTTAACATCACTTTCAGATTATGATGTGATCATACATTTAGATCCAGGTCAATGTACAAGATATTATCAAAACATTTTTGTTGACACAAAATAATAGAAAGAAATTGTCTTATTTAAAGTATTATTGAAAATATAAAAATGCAAGTTCATGCAGAAAATTCAAAAAAAGATGAGGTTTAACCCTGTAGAATATTATTTGGGAGAATTGAGGGTAATGTTTACTTTTTTTTGAATTCATTATATGCTGGTGATATATTTTAATTTATTGATAATTTCGTTCTTTTTTTTATATAGAAACTATACTCTGACATAGCTTTATTCTTTCATAATAAACATGGTGGAACAATAATTGGAATTGTTTGGATACCAATAAACTTTACACCTAAACCATGGAAAGCTAGTGCTGAAATCAATAGTATTTTGATTTTGAAAATTGAAAATCCTAATGGGGAGAAAGGTGAACAAATTAGTTGCTTTTACTGCGAAGATGTTTTGAGTATGTTTATCAGTATTCTTATTATCTCTGTTCTACATTTTTGTAGATAAATAATAAAAATTTACAAGATCAAAATATAATTTTAAATACTAAAGCAACAGCTTTAGAATTTGAAAGACTAGGTGAAGGGTTGGTCACTGGAATTGAGGTTAGGAAGTGATCTGCGAGAGGCAATCTGTCTAAAGTTTTTTTAGTTTTTAGTTTTTTTGTTTTTAATTTAACTTTGGAAAATAAGATATTTGAAAAAAATTATATGCTGTACGTTGGAATAGATGTTAAACAAAAAATACATAATAAATATCATTTAGAGGTTGGAACCGGTTTTATTACATCAATTTTTGGAATTTTATCTAATTAAATTTATGACAAATTCTAAAATTTCTCAAAATTGATGTGATATATAGCGATAGACAAATTATAAATCTGGCAATCGATTTGGATTTAAGTTAACGTAGATTACATTAACAAATATTAGGTGTTAAATTAGATTATATGGGCTAGTGCTGCGAAAATGGACCAAATTGACAATTTTTTTAAACCATTTTTTTTTTAAGCCTAACTAGTTCAAAATTATCTCAGGAACATTTTTTTACTTAAGGAGCAAATATTGTTATCTTAATAAAATTTTGCAATATAGCTCTTTAAAGTTTATATTTTCTTATAATTTATTATAAAATTTTTTTTTGTCAATTTGGTCTCTTTTCTCAGCACTAAGCCCTAGGGTTGTGGGCATGGGGCACGAGGCATTAGGGTGATCATCAAACTAATCAAATCAAACCATAAGTAGCTGTACATATAAAATTTACTAATT